GGATTCGAGGATTACCGTGTCCTCCCCCTCTCTTCGGACTTCGGATAATCCTATAATATGCCAGCGCAACTTGTCTATCTCTTCTTCCAGCTCCACGATCTTCTCGTCAGTCCTCAGGGTGCGTGCGTTATACGTTGCCAGGTCGAGTCGTCTAAGGTGGCAACCGAACCTCCACCGGAGATTCTTAGCACCCCCTGCCCCGCCGTTACCATGGTCGCCACCGTAGCCAGGAATAGCCGGGCCACCGGGGACTGGGGGCCGTTTCTTTGTTACTGTCATTCATAGGGGGGTATTTTCCATAGTTGCCACGCTTGGCGAGCGGGTTGGCAACCGCAGTTTTTTTATTGTATTGCTATTATCAGGAAGATGCTGCTGCCCATCTCCTGCCTGTTTCCCTTTGTCGCCTTTTACGACACCCGCGGAAGGATATGGGGTAGTGGATATTCTTGACCGCCACTACACGGCAATAGAACTTTGCCCCACCCAAAGGTCTGGTGTACACGAATGCCGTATGCAACATTTTTTTTTCTAATTTATTACTTCATCCAAATTATAATTTGAGGTCTCTAGAACTTGCGATTTTTTTTAAACTGGACTTTAATAATCACATTTACCTTATTTTTTAGAACAGCATTCATTGCAGTTCATTGTAATTTCAGAATATAAATTGTCAGGCGCTAATGATATATATAAATAAGAATTTAAAAATTTAAGGAGCATAATAATATAATGATCAGTAACATTAAAAAAAGGGTTATCTTGTATAGGATCTAAAAGATCCTTACACAATATAAGACTAGCACCACCTATTTTCATAAAATCTAAGTCCTAGTCATGGTAACGAGTTATATTATTTTTAAAGATACAAATTATTATGACATGTGCCTGAAGAAGATGTAAATATTTACAGATTAGTAACTAATTTTACGACAGCAGAAGGACCATAAATTATCAACTATATAAAAAAGCTATAAAGCTAAATACATCTGTTGCAAAGATCTCCATGTTGTAAAAAAAAAGTTAAGATTTCAACACGAAATGAGGACACAAAATGCCCCTGCATCCTATCGACGCAAAGATGACAATTTGATGAATATGATTTTATGACAAATTAGTGCACCTCAACATTGTAGATGCAATTATCAGAATGTCCGTAGTAATTAGCAGTAAGTCAATAAGTAGGCGTGATCGAGTCCGTATATTAATTAAAGAATAAGTCGTCAGCAAAAGCAGGAAAAATTGAAACGGTAAAAGAAGCGGGAATCAGCACAAGCAAAAATGTGATATAATCATAATCAATATATTTTACAAGCACAAATTAGTCAAAGTGTGAAAAAATTCCACATTAATTTGATATTCGTACTTACGATATTGACACAATGACGTGTGTGTATCGTTTCGGAAAATACACGAAAATCAATGGTTTTTCTTCAGTAATTATCTAATGAATTATAATAATAATTGAAAATAAAAATTGATAAGTAACATTTTTATATGACAAAGACTTATAATATATTTTAATAGAAATATGTATTGTTTGATATTTTATGCGTACGTATGTACTTATTCGTACAAATAAACGCAGATGTTGTTAGAAAAGACTGGAAATGTAAATATTGAAAGTTGACCTCCTATTTTTTTAAATAATATTTTAGCGCAAGTTGTACAAAATAATGATTTATCAGAAAAAACCTCAAAATTCATACGATTATTTTTCATATTTTTACCATTTTTGTACAAGGTGGGGCACGATCTGGCATTCTCCTTTATGAGAGAATGTATGTGCTGCGGGACACAGTCAAGAATTTTAACTTTAGTAATATTTTTTTATAAAATTGAAGTGACCGACGAACTTACTGTCCACCTGATGACGTTAAGTGGCTGCTGAATTCCATGGACACTTGCAGCTAACTTCAAACAAAGAAGGCTACAGAACCGTTGTCCTCTCTGAAGACTGAGATGAATGTCTCCCAGTCTGTGATTATGTTGGCTCTCTATATCCTTCACACCGGAACATAACACTACTAGTACTAACTGCCCAGACGGACTCCTGGAGCCGAAAATCCTACAACCTAGTAGTCTTTCTTCTTCATCAGCCTCCATCTAATACGGGATGGGGTTTTTGTTAGATCCATTGAAGCATACATGGGGGAGTCAATGGATGTAGCGAAATAAACAGAGAATTATATGTATAACTAGACTTATAATGATGATGATGAATTTTTTGAGAGAACACAAGTTTAAGTTTTTATTATATATGTGTGTATAATTTTAAAAATTACATCTTTTTATTATAATTTGTACATTATTGTAATATGAATAATTTTGAAATTTTGGTATAAACATTTAGGTTACTTTTTTACTCGGCCTACCTCTTCGATAACAGACTTGAGAGTTTACGCAATGTTTTATACTTAATAAATAGGTCAATGTAGAATATTACGTATTATATACTATACTATTAATATTTCATTCAATTACTATTAAAATTATTAAAGCTGCCAAATTTCACCATCGCACATCGCGACCAAATTCATAATATGCGACTTTATATCACCGCCACTTAGAACATTATACACGTATTAAACCTGTATGTACTATTTTTTTATGTTTTAAGTGCTTTAAATGAGATAATATATAGCTACAAAATCTTTTGTTCTGATAAAGAACTTTGAACCTTCGTTGTCAATGTTATAAATAAGCCGCTTGGTAATTTACAAAACAAAATTGAAATTTACGAAGCTTTTACTGAGCTTGCAACATCGGCGGCGAGCTTTTAAGCCATAACTTGTTAAAATGGTTCGAGCCGGCGTGGCGAGGGCAGAATAAACACGTTCATAAATGAGGATAGTGAATTTTTAATGTGTTAAATATAAAATAGTAAAATTATAAGTAGAACTAGTAATTGTAACATTAATTTCTTATAATACTAAGTGTTTTTTTTGCGTGTCTGGTCGTAATAATCATTTCATATAAGTAATACTAAGATGATAATACTAAGTGTTTGTTACTAAACCAGCCGGTTTAGCCGACCCAATAGTTTTGCAGTCATGATACGCTGCAGGATGACTCTGGCACATCATCACTCATCACCATTACAGCCCTTCACAAGTCCACTGCTGAACATAGGCATCGCCAAGGAATGCAACAATACTGTATCGTTTCTCTTGATGTTTGTATAGATTCTAGGTAGGTTTATCTCTTCAGTTTTTAAAAAATCTATTTTGAATCAAAATGTAAATGAATCTTACAACTTACTTATTAATAATTTAAAATTAAAAATTTCGTACTGTCGACTTCAATATAAGTTATTAAGAATAACTCAAAAACTATTGGTCTGACCTTGATCAAATTCATATGGCACCATACGGGAAGTACCAGCTATCAAATAAAAAAAACAATCATCGAAATCGGTTCACCCAGTAAATAGTTATGAGGTAACACACATAAAAAAACATGCAGTCGAGTTAAGTACCGTCTCCTTTTTGTAAATCGGCAGAAAACAATGAAATAATTTCCACATAATAGCTTCAGAAGTGGGTGTTGAGAAAAAAGTGCATTAAAGATTCAAAACCACCAACTTCAAAAGTAACTATTTCGATATTTTTTTATTCTTAGTTCTTTGAAGTCAAAATGAACTAAGGAACCCAAGCAAACAACTAAAATGACGTTTTAATTGTTACATTAAAAACTGAAACCCTTACTAGTTATCGAGTATCATGCATTCGAATTAAGAACCTCCCCCTTTTTTCAAAGTGGTATTGTTATCATCATCTTCATTACAGCCCTTCACAAGTCCACTGCTGAATATAGGCCTCTTTCAAGGAATGTCACAAAGCTCGATCCTGAGCCATCTGCATCCATCTACTTTCAGCATATTTCACCAGGTCGTCATTCCATCTAATGGCGGCCGCCATACACTTCGCTTAACGGTACGAGGCTACTACTTAACCTTTCTTCCCCATCAGTTGTACGTAAAATGATGTGTCTTACCTATATTGAAGGACATCTCCCGTCCTCCCTCAATTGCGGGCACTATATCCGTCACCAGTAATCAGATTCAACCCTAGCATACTCCTTAATGACCGCATTTCTACAGCATTTATTCCACTCTAATGCTTCTTATGCGAGACCCACTTTCACTACCATACATTAAAGTAGGGACTAACACAACATTATGAATTGCCATACGTTCCTTATTTGACTGATCCATTCAGACTATTTATAATAGCGTGTAGAGCCCGATTCATTCTATTTTCTGCGTACACTTGTCGTTCTTTATCCTTATCATATCTACCATCCGTGTTAAATAAACATCCCAAATATACAAACTCATCCACCCGCTCAATCAACTCCCATTCTATTCTTATTTCACATAACGTTTTATTTTCTTCTCTTTCAAAAACCACCACTTTCCTCTTAATTGCGTTCACTTTCATACCTTTTTCTTTTAATTACCACTTTATTAAAGTAACCATTATTTGCAACACGGCCGCCGACGATGCAAATATGACTTGTTCATCGGCGTGCAAAAGGCATTTGACGGTTAACGGTTTTTTTTTTTTTTTTACTGTTCTACTGCTGCTATATATGCAGCACCCGTGGTTACTTTAGTTTTTTCCTGTTCATTTTATCTTTATCCCTTTTTTTTTATTTTTTATTTTTTATTTATTCTTTTTTTTTTTATCTAATTTTTTTTTTCTGTCTTATTCCTACTTTACAAAGATATTATTATAAGTTTGTTTCATACAAAATTTGTTTATACTATTTGGAATGCATACTAAGATACATTTACTTGTTTCACTATAAATATCAACTTTTCTTATCAGTATTACAAACTTATTTTCGCAAAATCCTTTTTTATTATTTTTATTATATGTGCCATACATAACTCTGTTTTTTTTTTTTCTTACAGTTGCTTACAGTTATATATAGTTACTTTATACAATTTTAATGCAATTGTCCATTGCTTTAGTTTTATATACTTTTAACTTATAAAACTATACTATTTTGGACCCATTTGCTTTTCCTGCAGTACGAACGACTATTTCTGCATATTTTAGGAAATGGGTGCGACAGTCATCGTTGTTAATAGCGTATTTTAGGGTAGTATCTTTAATTGCAATTCCCATCTTCTGCTCGCATTCCAATCTTTTCATAGCGAATCTCGGGCAATCTATTAACAGGTGTAAAATTGTTTCGTCTACTTCACTACTGCATGCACAAGATGGGGACTGCGTTAATTTGTACTTGAATAAATACGCCTTAAAACCTCCATGACCCGTTAACAATTGCGTCTTAACGTTATCTAGTTTAATGTTTTTAAGTGTACTGTGTGCTTGTCTTATGTCCGGAAAGAATATCTTCGTGACTGCTCCTGTTGTAGCTTCATTGTATCGTTGTTGCCACCCCATGCAGGTAAAGTCCCTGGTGAGACGCTTCGCGAAGGACAGAGGGCACTTATCATAAACTGCGGCTTGTTTGTTAGACAGTGCTGCCTTCTTTGCAAGTTCATCAGCTCTTTCGTTGCCGGGTATACCAATATGCGCTTTGACCCAGTAGAACTCAACATCCCCGTCTTTATATTTCAACTCTCTTAAACGTTCTCGTATTTCAACTGCAAGAGGCTGGAGAGACGTGCTGTCGGTTAGGCACTCTAAAGCTGATCGTGAGTCACTTAGTATTATTGCTTTCTTTAATTTACTGATCTTGCACATCATGTCAAGTGCTTTAAGAATAGCAGTAAGTTCAGCCTGATAAACACTACAGTAACTTTCTAACCTAAATGTTGATTTGAGTATTTCTTTACCCTCTCTCCACACACTGACAGCGCCACCTACTTTGTCTTCTAACTTACTGCCGTCCGTGTATATTCTCGGCTTAAGGCCGTCGATTGCGTTTTCTTCTTCTTGTGTAACTACCATCTTGAAAGATACACGCTCTCTTTCAGCGGGATGGGGTAAACAGAATGGGCTTATTGGTTTTTCTACGGTTCTTCGTGGTAGTTGTGCTAGTGGCTTTCCTCGTTTAATTTCATAGAGTGAAAGATGTTCCAATGCTCTTAAGTCAAGAGGAATGATTCCTGATAGTAACACGCTAGACGTAAATGAGATTGTCCTGTGGCCTTTGCAGATCTTAATTGCAAACATTCTTGTTATACGTTCTAATCTTTTCCTCATGTATTCTTTTTTCGCTACCGTGGCCCATACACTTGCCGCATGAAGAATAGTTGGCTCCACTACAGCTAAATATATAGTTTTGACTATCTCTGAGTTAAGACCCCAGTTGGCTCTTGCTGTTCTCGATATGGTTTTATAGATGTTTAGTGCCTTTCTGAGAACTCCATCTAAATGTTCTACGAAATTTAAATTTGTGTCAAAAGTAACACCAAGTACTTTCAGACTCGAAGATAGTTTGATAATGATATTATTCATTTTAATTGTAGGAATTTCATAGGATAGCTTTTTTGTGATTACTATTGCTTGAGTTTTATGTGGTGCGAAGTTCAATTTGTGTTTTTTCCCCCATGCCATTACTTGCTCTAAAGCTGGATTTAGTTTTTCTTCTACTGCATTAGCTGAATGTCCTTTTGCAATAACAAGTATGTCATCCGCATACGCCTGTATACGGACATTTAGTTTTGAAATTGATTCGAGAAGGGGATCTAAAAGAATATTCCAGAGGATAGGTCCACAGGTAGACCCTTGTATACAGCCTTTGGTGGTTGATTTTGTGACTTCTGCTCCTGCATACTTTAGTAAAATGCTTCTAAATGACAGGTAACTAGTGACTAACCTGAGAATCTCTGGACTAACCTTTTTCCTTTTCATTTCTCTAATTATTTGGGGCCACCAAGCATTATCAAATGCCCCTTCTATGTCAAGAGATACCACTACAACGATCATTTTTTCTTTGATGCCCTGTCTTATCACCGTCATTGTATCATATAAAGCGTCTTCTGTACTGCGCTGTGGCATGAATCCGTATTGCAAACTGTTGAGTTTATCTTCACTTTTGACGGTTAACGGTTAACTCACCTATTCTTAACCCACATTCTTCAAATTTTCAAAGTTTGCAAACAACTGTTCATAAATAGGTTAAACAGCCACGGGAAAGCTACACAGCTCTGTCTGACACCTTTTTGAATGCCAAAACAGTCCGAGTAGACCCCGTTGATCCTGACACAAGCACTAGAGTCCCTATAAAGAGACTTTAATGCCTTTATCAAAACCAGCGCTCAACCTAAATGAGTTCAATGTCTGCCATAACATATTCCTGTCCATTCTGTCATAAGCATTTTCGAAGTCTTTGAACGCACAAAAAAACTTTCTGGTTTTTGGCCAAAAACTGCTCCGCAATCATGCGCATGGATAAGACTTGATACGTGCACCCCATTCCCTTTCTAAATCCAGCTTGCACATCCCAAATTTTTTCACGAGTTTCTACCATAACTCTTTCAATTGACACCTTAGTATACAGTTTAACCACAATGCTAAGCAAGCTGATACCAATGTAGTTTTAACAGTCCTGCTGTGACCCCTTTCCCTTATATATTGGGACTATAAGGGCTTTGCACCAGTCTTCCGGTACCCGCTTCAGTTCCCAACATAAATTAAACAAGGCGTACAGCAGGCCTGCAACCACACCTTCTCCAACCCTTAGCATTTTGAGTGATACTCTATCATATCCGGCTGCCATACCTGCTTTCATGCTTATCATTGCTTTCATTGTTTCATCTACACTTATCTTCCTATCTCTCTCCACTTCTTTCGGAATTTCTATTTTACTTATTTCCCTTTACTCATAAACATGCTTTCAAAATATTCTTTCCATCTCTTTAAATTCGAAACTTCGTCAATCAGCATGCAGCCATTCTCATCTCGTATAGCATTCATTCTAGGCTGTTTCGAATTTCCCCTGGCAGTTCTTCCAAGTTTCCAGAACATTTTAAAATCTACTACTAATTTCAATTATTATGTTTTTTTTATATAGAAGAGGTAGCAAACGAGCATGCGGCTCACCTAAATGTGACTACCAACACACCAGGGAATTGCAAGTAAAACGCAAGCTAAGCTGCCAACCTTTAAAAAAGAAGTAGGCTTTTTTCTCGAAGGCCTCTATTTTTGATGGTAGCTGATTCCACAAGGAAATCATGCGAGAAGGAAAATTTCTAGTAAATCGCACAGTGGAAGACAGCAAATCATTTGATGTGGATGATATCAGGAATTTGGTCACGATGTTAGATGGTGAAATTCGGGAGCTGGAATTAAGGTATAATAAAATTTTAATGGTACATAATTGAATGAATTATTAATAGTATAGTATAGAATAATATGTAATAATATTTAAAATTGAGCTATTTATTATAATATAATATAGCATAAACTCTCACGCCTGTGAACAGAGAAATAAACAGAGTAAAAATGTTTACACTAAATTATAAATATCACAATATTGTAAAAATTATAATAAAAAATATGTTATTTATAAAAATATTCACATATAACTTAAAAACTCCCTCAAAATACTTCATCATTGTCATGAAAAGTCCAGTTTCGATTCTCTGTTTACTCTACTCCATTGACTCCCTCATGCATGCTTCAACGGGTCTTCTCACGAAAGCCTTGTGCCAAAAAACAAAAAACCCATCGAGTATTTAATGAAGGCTCATAAAGAAAAAAAATAATAAGAAAGACAACTAGGTTGTAGGATTTTCGGCTTAAGGAGTCCATCTGGGCAGTTACTACTAGTAGTGTTGTGTTCCGGTCTGAAGGATATAAAGAGCCAACATGATTATAGACTGGGAGACATTCATCCTAGTCTTCAGAAGAGACACGGTTCTGTAGCCTTCTCTGTTTGAAGTTAGCTGCAGGTGTCCATGGAATGCAGCAGCCACTTAACGTCATCAGGTGGACAGTAAGTACGTCGGTCACTTCAGTTATATAAAAAAATATTACTAAAGTTAAAATTCATGTATATGTTTACCTGCAGTACCCATTTACTCCAATAAGACGTTTAGGCCCTTGGATACCTCCTCCGTCCAGAGGTATGGCGGAGTATGTATCTGCTGTGTGTAAATAGAGGGAGACATACAAATGAAAAATAGTCCTGAAGGATTACCATATATGGTATGGTATCAATGATGTTGCCGGGATCAAACCTACGAGACGTCGACTAACTGTTTTTTATAATGTACATGTATTTTTTTAAATGCGCGTATCTGAGTGATGATTGTATGTTGGTATGAAATGTATGAGTCCCTTTCAAAGGATTGGTCTTCATCACCAGACTCAAGAGGCCAATTGGCGATTGAATTGCCAGATTTGTTGCACCACTAACGCTGCTTCTCATCGCCGGCTTAGCTTTACTAGGCTTTAACTTTACATCTGGCGTAAAAGTGATGACTGTACATCCATCTATTAGAAAACCTGAAATCTTTCTGAGGTATTTTTGGTCGATTTCGTCTCGATACATTTATGTAATTACTAAATTTTACTACAATTTTATTATAAGATATCTCTTATAATAAAATTGTAGTATAATTTAGTTTCAAAATTTTTGATTTTATAATAGTATAAAAGTATTATAAAATCAAAAATTTTGAATAAATATAAAACGTGTCCTTTCTAACAGCTTTAAGCTAGAAACCATCTGTTAAATGCAGACGAAAAGCGTCAGTTGACAGCCGCAGTAGCAAAGCTAGAACTTCTCAAGGGCTCTTCAACACTGACTATGGTTGTAAAGTTATTCAGTTGAGTATTGCAGTGACTAAATAAAAATTATAACTTAATAAAATGAGCGCTTAGTCCTCATTTTCAATTTAAGCATATTATCTATATATATTTATATATTTATATATATTATTGAGGCTTTTATGAAATAAAATAAACAGAAAACTGAAGACCTATGTAAGCTTCAATTTGGATAATTGATATAATTATAATTGATATACCTTCTATTTTAACAATGAATTTAATCATTTCGTTGTGTGACTTTGTTGTGTATCGGTATTTCTTTGAATTTCCAATAATTCGTAGGCGTAGGCGTAGTCCTGAATTCATGGAAGACAGCTTTGGTCAACCCGATCCCTAAAAAAGGCGACCGCTCAGACCCGTCCAATTACAGGCCTAACGCCATAAGCTCTTTGTTCTCCAAAATAATGGAATTCATTATAAACTGCCAGCTCATGAGGTACCTTGAGGATCACCAGCTGATTAGTGACCACCAGTACGGTTTTCGTCAGGGTCGATCAGCTGGTGATCTTCTGGTCTACCTGACTCATAGATGGGCAGAGGCAGTAGAGTCCAAGGGAGAGGCATTGGCCGTTAGTTTGGACATAGCTAAGGCCTTCGATCGGGTCTGATACAAAGCGGTTCTTTCGAAGCTTCCTTCCTATGGGCTCCCCGAGAAATTGTGCAAATAGATCACTAGTTACCTTGCTAATCTGAGAATCAAGGTCGTAGTAGAAGTCGCTCTATAAAGTAAATATGTTGATAGATGAAAGTAATCCATTAATATTGCCAATTTTTTTTATTAAAGTTTTTAAAAAGTTACCTCGTGGACGTACGATCAAATAGAATGATGTATCTTACCTAGTCAAGGGTGGGAGGTGCTCTTCAGCACCTCCCGCTCTCCCTCAATTGCGTTCACTATCCCCGTCACCACTAATCCCAGCACCACTACACTAGGTAAGACACACCACTGACGACAATACGATACGTGTTTCGCCTCTACACGAGGCATCTCCAGGTGATATAGACTCTGTGGTGGCTGACCGCTAAGTGAGCGGCGAGCCAAAACAACTGCTATTTATACAGATCGCTGACGCAACTGCTCCCTACTTAAGAAGCGAGCGACTGCGTCATGCCATAAAGCATGCGACCAATCACCGCCGGACTTATGCAGCCGTTTGTAAAATTAAAAACAAACCACCGCGCAATGCCCGCCTACCCTTCAACCACGCAACTAATCGCTGATCACCGTGAGGGTGACAAACGACCATATAGCGAGGCTGTCTGTTATTAGAGAGCAGGCTTAAAGATATCTAAGAGAGGTGAGTTAGAAACATTTGTTTATTCATTCAGCAGTGCAACGTTACTATTATTACTTTTTAATATCTCTAACTGTTCCAGCACACACAGTCGCAGCCCTTTATTACACGTATCTAAGTCTTAAAAGGAGTGGTCGTTGGCTAGGTTGTGTCCAGTGTCCAAAAGATGTTTAGCAAAATGGGATTTATCGGGATTGCAATTCCTGTACGCGGCTAAATGCTCTTTATAACGTGTCTCGAAATTGCGACCAGTCTGACCCACGTAAACGCCGTGGCATTCGTCACAAACAAGTTTGTAAACACCCGACTTTTGACAAAACTCCAACTTATCTTTATCCAACTTTTTTTTAATCTTTAATATAATGGATTTCCGCAACGTAACGACTGATTCTATTAATAATATTTTTTTCACAAAAATTATTGAACTATATTTGTCGTACATTAAATGACAGCTGAGTTATGATTAGCAGGAGATAAGCCAAAGTGCTTGCGTCGTGTTGTGTGATTTGTTTTAAGTGGATAAAGCTGTTGTTGATAGAAGGTATTTTACATAAAGGAAGCTGAATTGGCAATGGGCCGGCCATATAGCTCAATGAACTGACAGACAATGGGGAAGAAAGGTTTTCGAGTAGCAGCCTCGTACTAGTAGACGAAGTATAGATTGGCCCTCCACGAGATAGAGTGATTGAGAGTCGATAGTTGCAGGTGGTTCAGGATCATGCTTTATGGTGTTTGTCGTGGCCTATGTTCGGCAGTGGGCTTTGAAGGACTATAATGATAATGATAATAATGATGATTAAATAAACATACATGATAATAAAAACAGTTCTTTATGCTTAGAGCATACGTCAAAGTGAAAGTAAAATGGTAAAGCGTCTATATGTACGGTCTTTTTCTGGGCACAGATCTCTTAATTCTGAGAGAGTT